TTCAGCCTCCACTGACTAAACCAAATTTTGAACAAGTTGAAAAGGTCACCGAACTTTTTCCTCCATCAATAAGCGTAGATTGTATGTCACTGTATGCAGAACTTGAGATTTTTGTTAACTTTGTAAATGAGACAGAGAAAGAATGTAAGACAGTCCACGACGCCGGAAACACTGCTTTCAAAAATAAAGAAATTTTCCCAAATGTTTATAAATGTTACAAACTTCTGTTTACTGCTCCAGTAAGTGTGGCTGATATTGAAAGATCATTCAGCAAAATGAAAATTGTCAAGAACTATTTGCGCTCAACAATGAAAGGTGAAAGGCTGGAAGAACTCATTGTCCTCTCAACCGAGAAGGATTTGACTGATACAATTCATCTGGATGTAGTACTAAAATCTTGGGCAGCCAGAAAAAACCGTAAACTCAGAATAAAATTTAAGTAAAAAGCAACATCTCAAGAGTACGTTGAGATGATTCTCACTTAAGACTCTTGATATGAGAACAAATATACATTGTTTTACTGTGATGTCCGAAACGGTTAAGGTTTATGTTTCAAAAACAGTTTTTGTAATAATGTATGTGTTAGAAACCTAATCTTCAATAATGTTTACTAATAAACAATGTATGCAATAATAGAAATGATTATAATTTGCTAGCCATAATGATTTAAGGGGTTTTTGTGGGCAACGCTCTTTTGCAGGGCAAATTTTCTCCACACACCCCCATTACTTCAAGTCTAGTTACGCCCCTGGACAAGGATTATACTATTTTTATTTTGGTCGAAAGTCTTGGAGCAAATCTACAGCCTTTTAAAGACTACTTCCGCTTTTGTCTCTTTACCTAAATTAATTGCGCGATGTTTGCAATGGAAATGTTGACATTTAAAAAGGCCTAATTTTCAAGAAGTAAACACGCTGGAAAATACTTGTGTTTGGCAGACCTCTCAAGTCTCACGATTTTGTCGTGAGACTCACTATTTTCAGTTCAATCTCACGGTCTCACGACAAGACAGAAAAATCTCACGATAAATAGTGGCGCAAGCTGACAGAACAAATTTTTGTTGTATTATTTCATTTTGGCGTTTCTTGCGCCAATTCTGTGCTAATCCGTAGTTAAATTTTATTAATTACCCAGCTATTTAGTTCATGACGGACTTTCGACTATGGCCATATATAGAGTACTTGTTCCAAATTGGAGTCATCATTACCAGTCTCTCACATTTTATCACGTTTTTAAATAAGTTGCGATGAACCTAATGAATATATATCCGACGATCAAGAGAGGTTCAGTTTCAAACACAAAAGGAAGACAGAGGTGCAGCGAATATAAAACCAAGTTCAACACAGGAGACAAGACTTTATATCATAACTTGTGCAAAATTCTCAAAGACAAGAAACCAATTTGAACTAAATAGAAATGCAAAACATTTATCAAATGCTGTGCAAAAGAGCACTGCACGTGTTAGGGATTTTTGCATACTGTCCTCCGGCTGAAAAACTCCGGCTTTGATGAAAAGCCACGGATCCAGTTAAATAAGCTTGCCAAAGTAGAAAGAAGGGGTTTGGTATAAAGACGAAGCAGAAGACTACAGAGCACTTTCAATAATGTGAAAATAATGATCATGTACATTACCATAGAACAATTTATTTTATTTATGCATGCGAAGTTTTTTTTCATTACCTGCAATACTAGCGGAGTATTTTACATGATATCTTGTCTTGATTATTTATAAGGTTTTTTGCTATGTATTTATTCAGGGCGGACCTAGGGTATATCAAATCAGTCACGCGACATATTTTTATAGTTCAAAATTATCAAATTTAATGATTGCAATTTTGATCATTAAATTTTCGTTCTGTAATCGTTTGGATTTCATCGTCCAAATTCTGTTTTATATGAAAACTTATACAAATACCACCTCAGTAAACAGATCAGTAGAGAAACATATCTAGAACTGTATTAACTGGCTGGCTGATAAACGGATGGCTCGACTGGTTGACCGATAACGGAGTTGAAGAACGCTTATTTGCCATTCCATTGGTCAATAGCCAGATCAGTGGACGACGGAATAAGCGGGTGACGGACCGATAAGGAGTGCAATTGCTATCGTAATTGGTTCGTTTAAATTTTGTCTTACTGTGATTGGTTTGACGATTTCAACTGATATGACAACTGAACTAACATAGTCAAGCTCACTGTCTGAAATGAATGCTTGATCGTTTCATAGTAATTTCTTAAGCACGATAGAAATTAACCTACAATCAGATGGAATTTATGGAAATCTTTACAAATTCATATATTGACATAAATGCTGCTGTCCAAACTGTGAATTTTTTTCAAGAGGGTGAAAATTTATGGATAAATTGTAAATGCCGCAAAGACGATCTCAAGAGCGACATTTCAGACATTGATGTTCAAAAGAAAGCCAACATTGTTTTGAGTTTTATCTGCAGTAATTTGCATCCCGAATCGTAAGTAAAGGACGTGAAGTATGCATGAATGTAATATATCAAAGTCAATTTATGCGAGTGTGTGATGATTGTCAATATGGCGTACAAAGTAAATGGTTTGAACTCGAGTATTGAAAGATGTTTGTAATGATGATCGTCCAGGTTAACTTGAGAAGAAATTGTTTTGTTAGAAGTTGATTGACGTTGATTGTTAGCGGTAGTCATCTTCAGAGTCAAAATTTTGAGTCTGAAGATGACTACCGCTAAGTTGTCGAAACGTCAGTCAACAATAACAAAACAGTCTCAGGACTTTATTAACCTGGATGATCATCATTTAAAAATATGGCGTATGGTAAGCAGATTGATGCTTCTGAAAATTTTGTTGCCGAAGGACTTTAGCTATGATTTCCTTTGTGCGTGGGGAATCGTGGCCGTTATATGGCAGCGAAATCATACATTCCTGCAAATATATTTCAATGGACAAAAATCTGTATTACTATTATTTACTTTATCACAAACAAATGTTTGGGGCTTTTCAGTTTATGATCATTGATCATTCAATTATTGGACAGTTATACTACACATTGTTGAAGATTTGTGAAAACTAACATTGATTACATGAGAGCTGTTTACTATAACCTGTGATTTTGAGTCTTTTTGATCCATGAGGCTTTTTATTTTGACAATTTGACTGGAATGGTATTAAACCTGAGTATTTCACATACATGAAATGTTGTCCCATGTCACATATTGTCCCCTTTTCTAACTGAACACCTCATGTAGAGATGTCAAGGTGTGCTGATCTACGGCTCATACCAGATTGTTTGCCATAAATTCCAAAGGGCTATTGATGTATGAAAAGTATTTTCTATAAAGTAAAAATGTCTTCCTATGTATGCAGATAAACCTTGAAATTTGGCAAAACAGCAAAGTATTTTCATGATCACTAGGTAATTTTTCTGATGATCATTAAAATTTCTAAACTAAATTATTTCAGATTTACATTTAAATGAGCTTTGATCAAATGAAAGATATTTATCATAACCAGTAAGCATGACACATGAACCAATTTTAACATTCATGTAATTATATAGTTAAAGACATGTTGGTTACATTCTGTTTGTATTTGCAAATACAATTCTACTAGTCATTGCTATTTAGCACACCTTGCATAAACTTGCAGAAGATAATAGTCTAGTGAAATGCCTAATAAACATTAATGGCATTAAGCTGTCATTAATTGCAAATTTTCACTCTGATAATTTTTGCTCAATCTTTGGCAGAAAAAAATTTTGAGTTTTTTTCTCAAAAGGTGAATTTGCTGGCACTGTATGTGGAGATGGGTAAGGGTTACAATAAACTTGCATGGTTTGAAGTCTATGAACTGTCACTTGTGGTACCAAATTTCTAACTTAACTCATTACATAGAGGTTTGAATGGGGGTCTCTAGGGGGTCTATGCCTGACAACTTGGTAGAAATTTTTAAAGACTATATCTGTTTTGAATAGCAATATTGTAAAATAAATTTTCCTAGACATGCTAATGAGCCATATATTTGGCATGATAATGAACCTAAATATTTGGCAAAACATTCAAGTATTGTTCACTTATGTTTTTTTGAAAAAAATGTAAGCAAAATGTGTTGTTTTTACGCAAAAACAATGCCCACAAAATACATTTTGTATTGCTTTAAAACGCTGAAAATGGCATTTTCAAGGCTCTGAAATTCAAAATTTTACAGGGGAGAATGCTTCAGACCCCCATGTGCGGAGCGCCCCCGACGTTTTATGACTGATGTTTGAAAAATCTTAGATCCGCTCCTGTATTTATTTACGAATTGAAATTTAAGTTTTTGAAATTGATTTTAAAGCTGTATGTAAACGATAGTGAATTTTACCATTTAATCAAAGTGAAGTTTGTACAAAACAGTATTATTTCATTACCAACGAGTTACGTATCACCCATTTTAGAACACAAATTTCTTCGACTTAAAAATAAAAAACGAAAATGTTATTTACCGTTTAGGTCGCTTTAAACTTTAAAAATATTTTCACTCGGCTTCAAAAGCATCCATTGCCTTTCAGCCTCGAGGCGCTTTTGAGACCTCTTGAAAACATTTGTTTCGTACGGACCTCACAGCCGGTAAATAACTTCTATTTAATTTTTAAAAATCATTACGTCTATTTATTATATGGCTATCGTCACTTCCGGCTAAATGGCGCAGTTTGATTGGATCAGAAACACTTTTAACGGTCCATTATTTTCCCGTAACAAACTTCGTAATGCAAACATCAAAATGCACAATAAACGAAACAAAAAAGCATTTACGAATATGATTCGAAGGAAGAACTCTTGGAAAACAGTTTAACTATCCAGACGATACAATTTGAAACGATTTTTCATGGAGAAAAGCTAGAAAAGTGAAAGCCAACCGGTAAAAAACAGAAAGGACGAGAAAGAAAGCAAACTTTTTTCAGGTCAAATAATGCCATGTATATAATAAACCTCGCCCTACGGTCTTGGTCTGTACAAGAAAACTGCGGTCCGATATATCTCCGTAAAGACCTTGAGCTCGTTTATTAAGGACTTAATATTTCACATTTGACTGTATTCAAAGTAGTTGAAGCGATCAAAAAAAAATATTGCATTCTCACGATAATTTTGTGCGTTTTGTCTTTTTAAAACTAGTGTTCCACCTGCTTCAACAGGTAAAATAAGACAATTGCAATACGATGTTAGCGCCATTTAAACAACGTGCATGTCGCTGTCATTATGTGTTGTTTATCATTTTAAGGCATCAGAATGTTGTTGAACGACTATTAATGTCCTCGAAGACACGATGAAGCTTCTCAGGAATTATTGGGTAGTTGCCTGTCTATTTCTTGTCGTTTCCACAAATTGTTCAGGTAAAATTTGATAAAAGTTGATTCGCTTTCCAGTTAATCATAACATTACGCTTACATTAATTTTAAGTTATTGTCTTATTTCACTGTAGATTTTGTAATCTAAATTTACCTGTTTGTTATTGTCTCACCGTATTTGACTGATCAACAATTCCCATGAAAATATTGCATGTTAGTTTTCTATTACATCAGGGGTGTGCAACCTTTTTCACTGGAGGGCCATTTTCAATCATTTGAACAACAGGAGGGCCAGTCACCATAAAAATGTCTAAATTTATTAAATTATAATATAAAATAAATTATAAATTGCAAAATTACAACATTTGTCTGAATTAATAATTAATAGGATACCTGATACTGTTTAATAATCAATGGTATACTTGATACTGTTTGTATTTGCACATTTTATCAATGTCTGCTCTCACTGATGTACTGACAACTCGAAGCTGACTGGTCAGGTGTTTATTTGTGAGCTGACTTGTTTATTCTCTGCAAGCTCATCGATCCTGCGAGATACAGTAAATCGAGAGAGACTAGTTTGCTGTAATAAACACTTCTTTTCGGGACATACAAAATCAGCAAACATATCCAAGCAACTTTTTACAAATTCTCCGCCACTGAAAGATTTCCCATTTTCTGCCAGTGATTCACAGATTTTAAAGCTAAGCTTTGTTATAAGTTCAGAGTCTTTCTTATAACCAGTTAATACTGCTTGTTGCTTTGTAAGTGACTTGATCATCTCTTCTAACTTGTTTTCACGATCTTGACCTTGTACTGCATCATATATTTTTGCATGTGTTGTTGTATAATGTCGTTTAATGTTATATTCCTTCATAATAGCTATTGTAGTTTGGCAGATTACACATACAGCTCCCTGGTTGTTCTGAACAACGAAATATTTGTTGCTCCAATCCTTGTTGAATATTCTTTTCTCATCATCAATTTTCCGTTTTTTACTAGCAGACATGTTTACCTGCAGAAAATTTTAAAAACTTAATTTAGAAATTTTATCATTAGGCACTATAAAAGTATATTAGTTAGTTAATGGTAGTTAGCTAATCTGAGGCCACTGCAAGGCTGAACAAATACAGCTACCAGCGGTAGCCATTGTTTGACGAGCGCTGCTGGTATTATGGCCTTGTGTAATATTACTTTTTATTGCACAACGCATTCGTTAATTTTACATTTAAAACAATTGAAAATATGAAAATTTAGTAAGTAAAAGTTACTGAGACCTCACCTGTAATTCTCAATAGTATATATAACTTGAAAAAGAAGATTTTTAAATAATTGAAGACAAAGAATCTTAAATGACCCACGCTACTCGGAAGATAACTAAACGTCCTTGAACTGTTGTGTTTTATTCGGCTATGCCACTATGTTAGGCCCGGTTCAAACGTCGCATTTTACATGCGCCGAATCAAATGCGAGAATTATGTGCATGTAAAATGCGACGTTTGAATCAATTAAATTCGACGGATTTTAATTTAATGCGACTTTAGTCGCATATTCGACTGAGTTAGTCGAATATTCGACGGAAATTCGATGTTGATTCAAACGTCGCATTTTACATGAGCCGAATTTAATGCATAATTTATTTTAAGATATTTCTAAGCAAAAACAATTATTTCCATGCTAAATGCCATGCGCAAAGTTGTAAAAACATGGCGGCGGCGAGTGATGGTAATGGCCCTTGTATTTCGTGCACAAGTTTAACAAAATACACTTGTTTGAAGTGCAAAAAATTTATATGTACAAGGAAAGTTTCTCGAGATACACGAAATGTTTTTTTGAATCAGAATAAATACTCCAAACTTTCTTCCACCAGCCGGAATTTCTATCTTGTCTTCGACATGATCGATAAGGAGGGCTACGTATGAAGGCATTTTTTTGACCAATTAACGGTAGAAAAACATGGGAAATTTGCAGAAGTTGCCGTCTCGTTTCTAATAGTTTATTTACTGTAACATGCATCAATATTTGTCTTTTCCTATTAACACGAATCATGTTCGAAATGCATAAACTCAACATTTTCCTGTTCGCCATTTTAGGAAATTAGTACAAGAAAATGAATAAACTATGAAAAAGTGGAAGCATAACTATAATAAATGCGACTATTAAATTCGACGTCTGAATCAAACTACGCATAAAACTATTTTAGTCGACTAAAACTCAGATTTGATTCGGCGCATGTAAAATGCGACGTTTGAACCGGGCCTTAAGAACAGTATTTTTGCGCAGTTTCGTAAAGTTCATGGTAAAAAAGATAATTGTCCTGGCATCACTAAGGGCCACAACAACTGCCCTTGGGGGCCGCATTGTCGCCCGCGGGCCGTGGGTTGCACATGCCTGTATTACATGACATGATTCATGCTTAGTGTTTACTTGACGGCAGAAACAGGGGCGGATCTAGAGTATGTCATATCCGTCGCGCGACTGATGTTTGAAATTCAAAAATTACCTATTCATATTAATTAAAAGTTCAAATTAAATGAAGATATGATATAACATTCCTTGATATAATTAAAAATTCATTAATTATTCTTACTTTATTATTGCATTTACTTCGTGATAAAAATCCAGCTTTATTTATTATTGAAAACTAATGACTAATCCAATGAATATCTCGTTGGTAACCAGATCAGTTGAATTTTAATTGACCTGGAATAACCGACTGATAAGCGGGGTGGCTTGACTGGTTCGAGTGATAAAGGAGTCTATGAACGCCAAAAACGCTTATTTTATTGGTCAATGGCCAGATCAGTGGACAGTCTGGAATCGTCTCACCCGATAAGAGGGGTGGCTGGACGTATAAGGGAGTCCAATTGCTATCTTACAATTGGTTCATTAGAATTTTTGTTTTATTGTGATTGGTTTGACCGATTTCGACTGATAGCCAACTGAACTAACATAGTCCAGCTCACTGTCTGAATTGAATGTTTGATCGTTTCATAGTAATTTTATAAGCATGATAGAAACTAAACTACAATCAGATGGAATTTATGGAAATCTTTACAAATTCATATATTGACATGAATGCTGCTGTCCAACCTGTGAATTTTTTCAAGAGGGTGAAAAATTTATGGACAAATTGTAAATGTTGGCAAAGACAATCTCGCGAGCGACATTTCAGTCATTGATGTTCAAAAGTAAGCCAACATTGTTTTGAGTTTTATCAGCAGAAATTTACATCGAAAATCTTAAGTAAAGGACAAGTGAAGTGTATGCGTGAATGTACTATATCAAAGTCAATTTATGCGAGTGTGTGATGTGATTTATGTCAATATGGCGTAATGTAAGCCGATTCATGCTTCTAAAATTGTTGTTGCCGAAGGACTTTTAGCTATGATTTCTTTAGTGGTTGGGGAATCGTGGCCGTTATATGGCAACGAAATCCTACATTCCTGCAAATATATTTCAATCGACAAAAAATCTGTAGCCATAAGCAGGGGCGGAACCAACTTCTGTGCTGACCGTTGCCTGTGCGGTAGCAAGCGCCTTCGGCGCGAGCCAACGCTAGGGGGCTCTGGAGGCATGCTCCCCCAGAAAAGTTTGAAATCTAGACTCTCAGTAAAGCGAATTCCGGCATTTTTAATGTAGAATATAACAATATTTTAGTTATAATCTCATCTAAAAAATTCTAATATCTTAATTTTTTTAATTCTGTTCGGATAGAAGAATAAAAATTTTACTTACCTTTTGGTGTCTGATGTAAAATCAACGCAGTTTCTGTACCTTTCTGTACCAGTATTGTTGCCGCAGGAGTGAGAGAAAGATGAAGAATGTTATTTTTGCAGTGAATAACCAAAAGACAGTTTACTAAAAAATAATTCCCCATCTTTGTTGCCCAATCAAATGGTCTTTTCGATAAGCAGTAAGGATGCCTTTTGGAACAGCCATAAATTTGGCAAGACTAATAAAAGCAATGTTCAAAGGTGGTCTTCTTCCAACAACAGCAAAGATGTTTATCCAACAATCGTATAGATTGCAAGATTAATAAAAGCAATGTTCAAAGGTGATCTTCTTCGAACAGCGACAAAGATGTTTATCCAACAACCTTAAAGATGACAAGATCAATAATAGCAATGTTCAAAGGTGATCTTCTTCCAACAGCAGCAAAGATGTTTATCCAACAATGGTAAAGATAGCAAAATTAATAAAAGCAATGTTCAAAGGTGGTCCACTTCCAACAGCGGCAAATATGTTTATCCAACAATCGTAAGGTTGGCAAGATTAATAAAAGCAATGTTCAAAGCTGGTAGCAAGCCACACGAGTTGTACGTATATCTTTATTGAAAAAGCATCGCGGAGTCGTCATTAGAATAAAACAAACATCGCCTGTTCGCTGTAGACCATCATGAACCATTTACGATGAAGTATTAAGGTATAAAAATTCGGAAAATGTTAACTGTTGTAGACTACGTTGGAACAGTAATGAAAATGTTGAGGTACAATAGGAAGAAAGTGTTCAATGTGGACTATCTTGGAAGAGAAAAGTATTTACTAGAAAATTTTCACAGTAGGCATCCTGTCAACTGCAACGCAAAGTTATCATCTGTTTTACGTTGGAACAATCAGTAGCTTCGTCTGCCAAAATAGCAAAAAATTTCGCATCTTTAATCTCTTCGACAATTTTTTCAGTTATTAACTCGCCACATATATTTATTATTTCGTTTTGTATAGTTTTTGATCTATAGGTTTGGTTTGAAGAGCAATTTTCAAAAGCACATCCATTAAGTTACCACATCGAGCGCCATACTTTAATATTTCAATAAAGTTTCCAGGGTTAGCAGGATCTTCTCCATCAAGGTAATAGTGAGCATCATTGCGATGACCTCTTAACGCTAGATTTTGGTGTACACACGTAATGATGCAATCGACAATTGGGCGAAGTCGTGCACAATTTTCTTAATAAGTTCTTTCGGAGAATTGCAGTTGAATGAACATTGGATTTTTCGCCATGTTGAGATAACTTCAGAAGGGTTGATGCACTTGGAGGAAGAGCACTTACCACCAAACGTTTGAGCTTACTTGCATTATGCGTGCTTTCACCGCCAAACAGTACACAAGTGACGCAAAAATCATCGTTTTCCACAGCAGAGTAAGCCAACCATGGAAATCGAGATAACCATGCAAACTACAAACGTCTTCCAGTACTTTCGTGAGGGGGGGAAAGAGTGATCAGAGCCAGGTTTCCAATGATTGCATAGAATTTCGTACTTTTGCATCAGAAAGATTGGAAACCGGATTTATGTAGTTGTAAATATCATCAGCCCGTGAATTAGTGTAAGTTGAAGTAGGACCGCTGTTGGAAGTTACGGATGAAATTCCTTCACATGTAATAGTGCTAGGATGTTTGACTTGATTGTCTTCAGCTTCTTTTGTTTGGCATATTCGTTTCACTAGAAGAGTATCTAAGCTACTTTGCTTTCGTTTGCAACTTCCGTCTGTTTTTTGGTGGATGTAGCTTCTTTTGAAGAGGACGGAGCAGAAAAACTTTAGAGCCAAGGAACTTTATGATATATTGGCATAGCTGACTTTAATAAGGTTGGAAAGTGTGTTTTAAAATAATGGTCTCGGGCTAAAGTGCTTCAATTAGTTTGCACAAAGTAACAAATGATTCTTGGTGGATGGGATTGTTTGATCCACCAAATAAGAATGTGGAATCGAGCACAACGAAAGATATGGACATAGTCAATTGCACTCCCATCAACAAAATCTCTTGGATGTATTGTACAATTAAACATTTTAGCCAACGAATCCCACTTTCCTTTCAATATATTATTTATTGATCACGGATTGCCAAACCACACATGGCATGTAATTAAACTGCCACCGCATTTATTACCAGGTTAGAACTGCATCTGGCAAAGGCATTATTAATTGAAGTGATCGCACCATTTCACTGGGTTAGAATAGTATTTTGCATTCTGCTCACATAGAGAGAATTCACTGACCAATCAACATGCATTCAGGACATTCCTGGCGAAAATTAGTTATATGAACCTGTTACCCAAGTTATACCTGGTAACAAACTGCTGACTGACTCACATTAGAATAAATGAACCTATATAAAGATTGGACGTTTTTATTTTGTCTTTGTGTTAATTTGGTAACATCATGATAAAGTCAAAGTCACAGGCAGGTAGTCTAAGATTTGGAACTAGTCTAGGCATGTTGAACAGGATTCAGGCGACTTATTGATTCCATCTACTATAGCATCAATATTCTATATAACCCGCAAAGAAAGTGACAGTTATTCAAAATGATATGTTAGTTTCTTTAACCAGGGATAACATAAATGCCAGGAATACAAGGATAATACATTATTGATTGGTTTAAATTTTCAAAAGGACTAGCTTTGACTAATATTGAAGTAAAACATTTTTTAACAGTAACAATTAAATATTTAGGCCCACATTAGACAGACAGAGTATGCAAAATAATGACAGCTTTAGACATATATTTTACATGATACACTAAATATGAATAGCTGAAAATTAACGGATTGATCATATATTTCAGGCCAAGATGTCAAACGTAAATAAAAATATAAATTAATACCCCAATACATGTAAATTCTTACCTAACAGGGACATTGGGTCCTGATCTTTCAATTTGGCTTTCAGGGAACTGCAGTTTTGAAATGAACAAGTTCGTAGCATAATATCAGTAGAATTTATACGACGAAGCCTTTCCTCGTTGATTATTTTACCACAATGTTGTCTCAAGTTAGACAATTCACCAGAAATAATTTCGCAAGCGTTCTCTTGCTGAAAGATTTGGACGAGCTTTTCAAGAATATCTATCTTTTTAGAAGTTTCCATTGATCCCAATTGTTGAGTAGGACTAGAAGTAGCGTTCTTTGAAGTCGACAAGTATCGAGCTATTGCATATGACTTGTATTTATTGTGCAATCAAAATACTTTCATCGTGGGTCACCGTGGCGCGCATGACCAAAACGTTCCCTGTGATTGGCTTGCAACCATTGAGTTCTATAAGACCTGGAGGGGAAACGTCAACAAAATTACTTTAAATTATCAGCGCGCGGCCGCGTGGTCAAAAACATGGCGGATTTTGGTTGTCAAAGTCAGCGGAAAGACGCGGGCTCATAAAATGAAATTTTTTTCGCCCACCCGGATTTGACAACCACAATTGCGATTATATAAAATATCAATGCCAAGCACAAAAACATTTAGAAATTTTATCTTTAAAACATGCTGCAAACTTGATTGGTATACGGATGCTAAATTAATGGCCAGAAAAGGAAACATTTCATGACACCGGTAAGCAACGTAAGATTGTTTACCATTTGAAGTGTTCAGTGTTTTGTTTTAAGTCAATACTTGAAGTGTGATGGTACATATTTTGTGAATGTTTTTACTCCTAAGTTATAATTTAAGTTATCTTTATCCATTCTTATTTGTTCTTTACTTAATCGCTTGCTAGACGAGGCAAAGCAACCAGTTCTTATCGAGATATGCATATCTTAAAACTCCTTGTTTCAACTGAGTTGAAATGGAGGATTTTTTCATGATATTTTTCTGAAAATATGAAGCAAATATTAAGGACAGAGCTGTATTGAAATCAAATGCAGTGCAAGATTAATTAATGAGCTCTTTGGTACATGTCGTACAATAAAAAATACCTGTATTAAACAGCTAGCCTGGACAATTTGACAGATTATGGACAATCATGATGATGGTGTGTAAAGGTTTGCTTTATGCTAAAAGTTTTATAAATGCCATCTGGTGTTTCTGTAAATGAACTGTTTGTTGTAGTAAACAGGTTAGTACATGAAAATCAAGATAAAAATCAAAATAATGTGCCAAATTATGCTCCTACCTTGAAATATTTGCTCAAGAAAAGCTTATCATGACATGCATGAAACATTAAATACAGTACTGCATCATCTGACAAAGTCCATATGTTTTCAATTCCAGGTGATTAAAATTCACATAAGATGCATTGGTTGCAATGAAGTTGAATGTGGAAGAAGCAAAATTGATGACAAAGAACTTTTTATGTCTTTTGAAGAATTACGATATCATTTAAAAGAATAAGAGTAGCAATCTAGTAAAAGAAGCCACATCTGCCTTCAACATGAGACTTTTCCAATTATGTATAGTTACTTTGTACAAAATACTATTTTAGATAAACTTGATTTTTAAGTCATTTACTGATATTTTTACCAAAAGACAAAAGAAAAATTCAAAGGCATAATGTAAAATTCAAAATTTATCAAGTTGTTTGAACCTAGAAAAAATTAGTATAGGTAACTGTAATTTGTAAGGACACAAGAGAAAAGTAGTGCAAGAAGGTTAGCATTTTTGAGAATTAATAAGTTCTTGACATACATTACACAAGGCCATAATATTATAAATAATGTCTGTATAATAACAATTATACAACATGCTAAGTATCTTCACCTACATTATAATTATTTAAACAGGTTTGCCTTCATGCAGCAATAAGAAAAGTGTTATGTCAGAGAAACCAATGCACTTTAATTTAAGAAATCCTATTTTCAATGGGAAATTAATGTAGTTCTGTTCAGTAGTAGATCCATGGTTGTCAATGACAATTCAGTTTCTAACATCTTGGCTCAAAACAGAACCAGCAACATGACTATAGAATTTCTGAATTTCGTTCTTTTGCTCTCCTAGTTCAAGATATTTTCTTCATAAGTTCTCAGTAGATTTATCAGAATATCATAATAACTTATAAGACACCCAGAATCAATCCTACCAAAAAAAAAAAACTCAAAAAAAAATACATACCTACTTATAACATATTTCCAGTCGACTTAAGTCGTAGGGGTAAGCTAACTTTTTCTAACCCATCTATTCAAGAAAGACAGTTGCACGAAGCTGTTAAAAAATAGTCAAAAACACAAGTATTGCGCATGGGATTATGCATTTAAGCTTAACAACACATTGACAGTGTAAAGAATGCCGTTTGATAT